TGTGTGTGTGTGTGTGTGTGTGTTTGTGTGTGTGAATAGTTCTTCTGTACCTGCTATAAATTGTTCATTGTTGTATTGTACTTTTATATTTCTTTTTCATTGTTTGATAATCAACACTGATTTATTATTAGTAGCAGTATTCATAAAGATATTTTACTCATTGCCACTTTGAATATTTAATGTCCACTGTGCTTTTGTTTTGTGAATTGTCTGAATACGTAGTTGACACCACAAACGCTAAGGCACTAAGAAGTCAATTAGGCATCACCTGAACTCACCAAACTTCCTTTTACCTTGAGTTTTTAGGAAAAATGTTTTTCTAATGTTTTTATATTATTATATTTGTAATGGTATTATCATTACTAATATCAATAAGAAAAATATACTTGTATTTCTTAAATCAGAGGAAAGGGATAAACTGGTGACATAGGTTGGGCAAAGAATTGACCTCTCTGTGGCTAAGCACTTGTGGATCCGTCTCTGTAAATACATTTGGCCCAAATACGCCAGGTGTTCCAAAGGCTGATTGTGGACAGCAATGTGATTTTAGTGCTTCTGTGGTCCACCTTTTCATAAAAAGAGGAACCTTCATGTCCTTTGATATGAACTTTCTGTTCATATAGACTGTGCCAGCAAGGTCTGTCCTTGACTGAAGGTAGTGGAGAAGAGTAGGCTATGAGCACCAATTGGCAAGTTATAGTTTGTACCCCATACCAAAAATGGACATATATAAAGAAGCAATCCAGAATCTCCAGTGGCATTGCTATTGCATCCAGTTGGTTAACCTTAACCCTGGGATTGGTAGCAAAGGCTGATTTTTGTAAGCCTTTCAACACTGGATGCCTTGCAGTGCTCTTATTATACTGCTCAAGCAAACTCTCCTAGTTCCTGATCTCTAAACAGACTCCTAGCCTATTTATGGTTAGGGACCTAGAAATTTGGGACAGATTATACGGAGCAGTCACCAAGCGAGGACAATCACTAACCTCTGCCAACTGGGGATCCTCTCCGGCTCTACATAATTACCACATCACCTCCAGCTTCCAGCCATCCCATTTGTAATTTACAATCCACACAAAATGTATAAAACGAGCAATAGAACCATGTCCAAAAGTGTGGTCATCAGGTTAATGACAGTGTCATTAGTGTCCAGGGATCCCTTTACAGAGTGGGATTCTTTCCCAGCTGTGAAGGGAAGCAAGATGAAAATCCCGTCACCAAGTGGCAGCGCTATGTTGGTCTTTCCTCCCTGCAAGAGAAGGAAAGATGATGCCAGAACAAAAACTGTTGAATAATAACTGGGAAGCTTATTACTTAATTGTCTAAATGTTGATTATTATATCATGTTTGGTACAATTGTACAGTGAAAATAAGAAAATATTTTACAACTAACAATGGTGCTTCACTAAAATTTTAAAGATTATCCAAACAAATGGGTATTTGATCAAAGAATGCATATAAAAACCCACTCTGACAAACTGAAGACACAGAGTTCACTTTGGACATTATTTACACCCTGCTGAACAAAGTAAGAGCCAATGAACAATAATGGAATACCATCCACAAATATGATAGCAGAAAGTTAAAAATAACAATTATGGATGAAATCAACTGGAAACTTTGCTTTACACAGGGTTTACTTGTATTGCTGGCAAGGCTGGCTCACAGTCAGCAATTACTATTATTTTACTCAATTTTCGTTATTGTATTTGCTTCCTCCCAGCTATGCTATTGGAAAGAATGTTTTGGATTTTCTATTTCTATTGAAATGTGGGGTATCAGGGGACTTGTACGGTTGTATGATAATTGATGAAATGAATGGATTGACTTCTCTAATTTTAGTGTCTTCTTTCTTTATTTTTTTCAATCAACAGTAGATTTATAGAATCCACAAGTCTTCGATGCATAGTTCCAGGAGGGACAATCATTCTTCACTGAGGGACACTGTGCATAGTGTGACCAATTCTGCTCTGTAGCTGGCAGACACTCAGTGTGCCTGTCTAAGGATCCCAGGACAGAGAAGATTAGTGTGACTCACTTTTTACACTGGTAACCCCCTGGTTGACACAATACATTGAATCACTTGCTTGGCTTACACACTGGAGAGGGAGTACTATAGCAGCCATGACCCACAAAATGCAGTCAGTGCACACTCCACACACTACCCAGGTGGATCATGCTATATCCAATAGGTACCTTATTATTGGTCACCACAAGCATATCTTGAAACTTGCAACTGATTCCTGACTGGTCAGCACCAGATATCTTGTAGCACTCTCCTTGGACCACTTCAGCAAGCTCACCTAGTTCTTGATTCCTAAATACTCCCAGCCTACTTAAGTATGGGAAATTTGTCTGTCCACATTGAGCAGCCACCAAGTGAGGACAATCACTGTTCTTCACATACTGGGGAACCTCCCTGGCTTCCTGCACAACTTGCCCAGAACTACCACTTCACCTCCAGCTTCCAGCCATCACAGTGGAAACTCATAATCCACACAAATACTCCCAAAGAGTACATAGTAGAACTCCATCTACTATTCCACATTAGGTCAGGTCAATCTATGTCCAACAGTTGATACCCAATTACCTGATTGACCAGTCACCAGACACCCTATATTACCTTCTCTCTACCACCCCCCACCCTTGACCAGTTACCTCAACCCTGTTACAGTTACCCTCTCCACCCCACCCCCTGCCCTAGACCTATTCCCTCTACCCTACCAGAATTGCCCTTTCCTCCCCACCCTCTGCCCTAGACCTTTTCCCTCAACCCTACTATAATCACCTCCTCTCCACTATAACCCTCTACCCTCCCATTCAGCCTCTGCAGTACCTTCTCAACAACATGATTACATTCAAAGCAATGGTAAATAGCAGCATTTGGTAAAGGCCTCTGGTGTCTGGGTTAACCCCAATGATCTGAATGACAAAAAAAAAGAGGCTTGAGGAGCAGGTGACATGAACATGCCAGCATGGAAAAAATTGGCTGAGGACCAGATGGTGGGAATGACTCACCACACATTTTTTCCATCAATCATTGAGTTGAATGAGCCATGACTGGAAGAGCACCAGCTCTAGGGAGGATGTCATTTCCATGCTCAGGATCCTACTCCTAACGACTGTGATGAATGACAGGTTTTATCAGAGAAAAATAAATATTTAAAAAAATATGACCAAAGTAACAATGTTTCTTATTGTTAGTTTTATTGCACTGAGGTATGTACTACCTAAACAGATGACAAGAAGACTATGCAAGGGAAACAGTTAATTACAATCTGGATACAGCATTATCAAATAATAAATATAGACTTTGGAAATTGACATAAAAGCTAAAAACCTTTATACGGAAAAAGAGATACGTGTTTGTATGTGTCCGACCTACAAGCCACAGCCATGAAAGTGGCCATTTAAGCGAGCCTAATGCCACATGTTGGCAGCAAACCATCCAGATCTAAGGTGTTAATATAAGCCAACACCTGGCATCTGGTACGGTGCTAAACTATCATCACATACAGATACCCATGGTCTTTAGGTTAGGCTAATAAACTAAAACAGTGAACTTGGCATAAAAGTACATGCCACCCCCAGCCACAGTTGGTTAACTGTTACTTGTAGATTTATATTTAAGAAATTAATGTTGATGTAAAGAGATAGAATCATGAAATATATCCATTGTTACACAGGAAAAAATAAGTTATCAATTACAATAACTGAATTTGAGGAAGAAATAATGATTGAGGTTGCTAATTCTGAATGTGCATGTAGAGACAAAATGTCAGCGATTTAGATTTTTGGTAATAGTTTAAATGTTTAAAGTTTAAATGTGTGAGAGTGTGCACATACATATGCTGTACTGAAAGATGTCATGAACTTTTTTCCAAACTTTCAGTTGTTGCTGCATGGTGCATGAAGTATATTGACACTAGTATATGATGTATACATTGTGATGATACATTAATTTTTATATGTATTTGATTTAAAATGTAAGGTAATATTGGTGGTATATTAATTTCCACAATTTGTAGGTTTGATTATTTCAGAATAAAAAAGAAATAGATATATATTTTATATAAAGTGCATAAATCAAAGTATTTTATTTAGGAAGAATTAATATGTGATGTTTTCTCAAATGGAAAGTGCAATTTCATGTGCACTTTTTAGGTTGTTTCCTCCTTTTCTTTATATCCATATACACAAATACAGGATTGAATGGCAGTGTTTGAATTAATGGGATCCCCTTCTTTAGCTCTGAATTTCAAGTACTAAATATTACTGGAGAACATTGTGCTATGCTTCAACTTTTGATTATAATACTACATTACTGTCTTTGTAGGGATTATGTTTTATGTTTTGTTCAGGTCATGTATATGAGTTTTGTGCATCAAAGAATTATTCTCCTCAGTATCATTGCACAGTAAAGTAAATTTTTCCAAGTGTCAGGTGTCTTGACATAGTGATAATATGGAGAGTTGCTGCTGGTCATTCCAAAATTTATTTAAATTTTCTTATAGCTCTGGAGATCAAGAAGCATTGCATTCAGCAATATTGCAGTTTTGTTATAGTACAGTGCAGTAACTATGCATTTCTTTGTTACATATAGTTGTGCTGATTTTTTAGTTTACAAAAGTTGATGTGTGTGTGTGTGTGGTTGTGTTTTAAGTATATTTTATCTGAGACTTTATTCAAGTATTTTTTACTTTAAAGACTTAAACCTTGTTAGGAGTTTTTTCTTTCTCTTTTTAAAGAAAAGTAATCTTTTGTATTAGTGATTCTCTGTGTGAATGAATATGTATTTGTGTATGTATGTGTTTGAAAAAACACATTTACTTACATATTTCTAGGAAATAAGAAATATAGGTTCAGCAACATTATTAAGGGTTGTACACAGTGATTTTTTAAAAATTTATGCTATTGATGTGTTTGATAAAGAAAAAACTTGATAGATAATTTTCATAATGCTAATACTAACAAAAATTGATAAATGTTGACTTTTTCAGCCTGGACTCAGGATGTCCCTGCCACCCAATTACCGGCAGGTGGCCATGATGGGGACCACCCCTGCTCCTGGACCCACTC